AGGGATGGAGACAGAGACGATGACATGGACAGATGGCACAGCTGGGGACACTGGACTCAGGGAGGGAGAAGGGCTGTGTGCTGGCTGCCTGGGGACTGGCCTGTGTGGTGTACCCTTGGGTTATTTGATGATGCATGGAGGGGATTGTAATCATTGCAATGAAACGAAATACGATAGGATGAGTGTAAAGCTGATGTTCTCCCATGTGAACCTCACAATAAAAACTTATATATTAAAAAATAAATAAATACCAGCTGAAAGGGAAGGAATCTTCACATCGAGGATCAGTCCTATCCCCTCTGTACACAGGGTTGATAGGGACGGGCAACTTAGACATTGGTTACCTAAAATGGGGGGGAGGGCTGGGGCTCAGGGGGCTATAAAGTCACGAAGTGACTGGCTTACAAGTTTTCAAGAGGAAGTTTAGTTTCATAGTGTGGAGGGAAGGTAAAAATCTCACTGAATCATTTTCATCTTGTCTAGATGGTCTGGTGAAAGGAGATGGGGATAAGATTCTTATGATTCAATAGTGAGTACCTGTTATGACTAATTGCGATTGTCACAATTGTAAAGGTAGACGTTTTCTAACATAAAGGGAGGAGTAGTTAATCTTACAGTCCAGGAACAGAGGACCCTAGGACCATCAAGGGAGAAAAGCATGAGCAGAATGTGGGACCCTATCCACAGAAGTAGTGACACCAGAGGTGGAAGCAGAGATAACAGCATGAAGAGATAGAGCAGCTGAGGACTGTAGACTCGTGGAAAGAGAAAGGCTGTGTGCTGGTGGCCAGTAGGCTGGCTTGCAGAATATGCCCTTCGGTTGTTTAAATGATTATATATTAAAATAAAATTTTAAAATAGCCATGTTATAAATAATGACACTGAATTATCAATGTTTTTGAGGACCCTTGGCGGCATTAGCTGAGCTGTGGAACTATTTAATATATGCCTGAGTGTCTGCATCTAAAAAACACTCTTCTGAGATAAAACAGGAAGTAGTAAAAGAGAAGACAGTAGTTTTTAAAATGTGAAAGATGTACACTAATGCTAAAAATGAAAACTAGACTGGAAAATTTACATGTTTTATTAAATCTTTACAACCCTATACAGAGTCATTATGAGTCAGAACTGACTTAATGGCACTTAACAACAACAGTGTTAAAAAGAAATATAGGGGCGGAGCTGATGAAAGGAGATACAGATGGGTAACTCGTGATACTGTAGTGAATAATGCTTATCAGGATGGATTATGAGGGTTTGAAATGCGGAGGTGGAGGTTTTGTAACAAGGAAGGGAGTGATTGATTCTCCAGGATAGGAGCGGAGGCCTCTGGGACCATCAACGGAGAAGAGCCGGAGAAGAGCTGAGAGCAGGACCCTACCCAGAGAAACAGAGATGCCTGAGATGGAGACAGAGATGATGACGTGGAGTGATGAAACAACTGGGGACTTTGGACCCAGAGAGGGAAAGGGACTGTGGGCTGAAAACTTGGGGGTGGAGGGGGAAGTGTAGGGGGCGGGTTTCTGGGATATACCCTTTGGGTGGTTGAGGATGCATGGAGGGGATTGGAATCATGGCAGTGAGATGATATATGATGGAATGAATGTAAAACTAAAGTTCTCCCATGTAAACTATCATAATTCACAATAAAACATTAAAAAAAGAAAGAAATATAGGGGAAAATCACCCCAAGTTAAGATGTTCTGCATCATGACATGTTTTATGTTCCAAACTCACTGCTATCAAGTTGATTCTGACTCATAGCAACCCTCCGTAGCATTTCCAAGATGGTGAATCTTTTAGAGAGCAGACCACCTTATTCAGAGGAGCAACTGGTGGATTTGAACCACCGGCTTTGCAGTTAGCTCACCACTACACCATAAGGTGCTAATTAAAAATTAAATTAGAAGGCCTATCCAAAATTAAACAACAATAAGTCTTCCAAAAATCAAAAAGTGAGCCTTAAACATTAAGTATATGCTGATTCACTGCTTCCTGGTTTAAGGTAAATCCATATAAGTTAATAAACTCAGGTGCTTCTACAGATACACAGTGAAACAAACAACCTGAAAGGCAAAAAAGGTAAACAGCAAGGTCAGAGATGATGTAGAAGAATGACTACAAATCTGTGAGTTTGGTTTTGTATATTACTTGGGAAGCTTCCCAAAAGCTCTGTACAAACAATAATAAAGAAAATGGCTTAATGGCCACTCCACCCTCCCCCCCCCCCCCCAAAAAAAAGAAAGGCAAGAGGTCTGAATGGCATTGAGCCAGAAGCCTCTTTGTTATCTGGCCATGTGATTTCTCTCCAAGCTCAATCTTCTCCTCTTTAAAACAAGGGTTAGGATTCA